ATCGATTCGCAAATTGAAGAAGTAGTCGCAGTTAGCATGCATGATATCACACACTTACGTCATGCTAATTTATGCTCCCTTAATTTCTGAGAAATAGTTCCTTAAAATAAGTTAATACAAGTTTTACAAGAAATCCACACAATGATCTCTATAAATAGAGGCTCGGAATGAGATCTGAGCACAGATAAACTGAAGAACACTCAACATGGCTTCCATGAGTGCAATAGTAGTGGTAGTGTTGTGTGCATTTGCGATGCATGCAGGGTTTTTAGTCACTAATGCTCAGCTCAGTCCCACCTTCTACGACGAAACATGTCCAACGCTAAGCGATATTGTCTTTAATGTCATCTCAAATGCTTCCCTCACCGATCCCCGAATTGGTGCCAGCCTCATCAGGCTTCACTTTCATGATTGCTTTGTTCAAGTACGTAACATTCTCTTGATGCGTTTCTCACTTTACTATACTAAACCCGTGCATATTAGTAATCACCAGCTTGATTTTTTTTTTCACAACCTTGAGTTTGTTTTGTTTCGAACACTGAGACAAAGAAAACAGCGAGTAATGAAAAAAGAAAAAAGCTTCAACTTACTGTTCCGGGTGAGAAAAACCTGAAGAGAAGCTTTTCTTGAATGGATTATTAATTATTACAGGTATTGTTAACGACAATGAGATGTAGATGAATGCAAGAGGTTTTTTGGCAGAGATAAACAAAATTTGTTCTTCTCAAACGTTATTTCGATCCTTACAAAGGAAGAGAAAGAAAAGAGTAATCCTAAAACCTAACAAACAAACGTTGACCTTTACAGCTGTCTAATTAATGGACGGTGCCTCGGTAGTGTATATATATATATATATATATATATATATCTGTGTTGTGCAGATTAATGTTATTTTACGATATAATCTTGCTATGATTAACTAATTTCAGTAACTAAAACATTAATTGGAGTATAAAGCAATTTAAAAGGTATAGGGATAAATGAAGAAGGAAGTTGTTGTTTTTGTGACAGGGTTGCGATGGATCTGTTTTGCTGAACAACACAGATAGCATAGAAAGTGAACAAGATGCAGCTCCAAATCTCAATTCACTAAGGGGTTTGGATGTGGTGAATAACATCAAGACAGCGGTGGAAGATAGTTGTCCAGAGACAGTTTCTTGTGCTGATATTTTGGCTATTGCAGCTGAAGTAGGTTCTGTTCTGGTAAGTTCTTTTTCCAAACCCTAATGGTGAATATTGACCAAAAACACAAATCACAGTTTCTTTTACATTTGGATTGATGTGGGATGGATTAAAAATTCTTCGTATTGGGATTCAAATTTAAAGTTTGTAAGTTGTAATAGAAAAAAAAAATGAAACAGTTAAAAAAAAATAAAATCGAACATAGTTAACACTTTCTAAATCGGAAGTATTGTGCTACGGTTATAGTTGGTCGATCTCTATTATCAATAAACACATATGATTTAATGGAAAATACTCTCACTGTGATTATGTTTTATTTTATTAAAAGTAAAATCAGAAAAAAAGTAAAACTCTTTTGGTTTACATTTAACAAAGAAGTAAAAACACTTAATATTTAAGTCCTCACCTTTAAAAATAGTATTATTTTCTTTTGTTTGTATTATTGTTATCTCCAGCACTATTCTCTAGGAAAAGTCTTGCATATTTGTAGATTCTATTTAACTTGTCCGACCATATCTACTACTATGTGTATGAAAATGATTTGTAATCATGTTTACACAATTTGATAAAAATTTGACTGACTAAAATTTTCATTCTTTTATATTTATATTTAGACTTGAACTATATAATTGTCTTAATTAAGATTTACATCCAATATATTTCAGATTAAAAAAAATATTCCGAAGTAAATAATTTAGTACATGTTTAGAGATTTCAAAAAGTAAAAGTAGTGTAATGTTCGTTTGTTGACAATAACTTTTTTTACAGAAGTAATTGATTTTATTTCGGTAATTTTTATTATAATTAAAGTTGTAACAAACACATGACCAGAAAAATTAATTATCTAGAATAGAACCTACAATTATGTAAAAGCTGTCGAGAAGTCGGACAGCTGACAAGATTATATAACTTATTCCTCTTATATATTTTCTCTCTCTTTGCATTTTTCTATTGCTTTTTCTAAATTTTCAACTGTTTCAGAGTGCTGTGCAAGGCATGGCTTCAGTGATCTATTTATTAAACGTTATTGTTTAATGAAAAACACTCGAACAATGAGCCTTAATATCTTTCCGTCAGCTTGATGCAAGGGATATTTGTTTCAATACCCCCAAATAACACAGAGTAAGAGGCTAGATAAACCCTGCAAATAACCTACCCAAAATATAAACTTCAAAAGAAAAAAAAAAGTAAGCAATTTTTCTTTTTAATTTTCGAACCTTGAGTGCGAAAACTGGCTAAGTTAGTCACTATTTATAACTAACATTTAAAAAAATTCAACTCTGTAGGTCGGCAAAAATGGTTGGATAATCTCAATATATATATAGTCAACTTTTGAAACATATATTCTAGGACATGTACAATGCCTATCCCATGCCCTTTTTCTTGGAAAATAATAATGAACTCAAGGAAAATAAATAGCATAGTTTCGTAAGAGTGAGACATCTATTAGGTGATATGTTAAAATAATAAATGAAAACCATTACACAAAAAGGTTGGTGCAATATTGAAAAAAAAAATCATGTTAGACATCATACGTTATATACTCTCAATATATGGTATACTAAAATTATTTTTCATATATTTTCATTACAAGATAGCTATCTTCTTTTTAGATTGTCCTACCTTAGGATACTTAGAGAGTAATTTATGGAAATTTTCACATTGTAATTACTTCTTTTTTATCCAAATATATATATATATATATATATATATATATATATATATATATATATATATATATATATATATATATAATGAAAAATACTTAATGTATTCTAATGAAAAAAAAAACTCAAAGATAACAATAATAACTATAAAAGGATTATGCGTAAGAAATAAACTAAAAGATATATACATAATAACAAGATGACCGTCCTTTTTCTATGTTTTATCATTTAACAAATTTTTACATAACTTAATTGACTATTTTTTAAGCTATTAAATCTTAAGTTGCCCAAGTGTTCTGCAATTAGTTATAGTTATGATTGCAAAGCAGAAGAATATTAGGGCTATGATTATAGCTGTGAAGTTGAATTCGAAACTACGGTATGCAATTGAATTTATGTATTTACAGGGAGGTGGTCCATCATGGGATGTTCCATTAGGAAGAAGGGATAGCTTAAACGCAAGTCAAGCTCTTGCAAATCAAAATCTTCCAGCACCCTTCTTCACAGTAGATCAACTCATCGCTTCCTTCGCAGCTCAAGGTCTCAACACCACTGATTTAGTCACTCTCTCAGGTACACATCAAATCAGAATCACATTCAACAACAAATACATAAAAATATTTAGTTTAGATCATTTTTCCATTATCAATCCATTGACGATACATCTGTAGGTGCTCATACGTTTGGAAGAGCTCGTTGCAGTTTATTCTTAAACCGATTATACAGCTTCAATGACACTGGAAACCCTGATCCAACTCTAAACACAACTTACTTAGAAACATTGCGTGGGATATGCCCTGAGAATGCTACTGTGGATAACATCACTGATTTGGACCTCAGCACACCTGATCAATTTGATAACAAATACTACTCCAATCTTCAGGAACTCAATGGCTTGCTTCAGAGCGACCAAGAACTTTTCTCCACTACTGGTGCTGATACCGTTGACCTTGTCAACAGTTTCAGCAGTGACCAAAGTGCTTTCTTTGCCAACTTTGTAGTGTCAATGATAAAAATGGGAAATATTTCAGTGCTGACAGGAACTGATGGAGAAATTCGCACCCAATGTAATTTTGTGAATGGAATTTCGTCCCCAACATTAGCTGCTGTGGTCTCCAAAGATCCTAAAGTGAACCTTGTTGCTCAATCTAAGTAAGTTATAATATGCGTTGTAGAGGCAAAATAAAAGGTTCTAAACCTTTGTGCTGTGTTGAAATGAATCAAATAAGTGTGGATGGCAAACTGATTTTGCCATTTACCTCTTAGAAGTGTATTTACTTCCATGAATCTCATAAAGCATTCCACTTTCTCTCTCCTCTCATCTACCTGTGTAATATAAAGTCTGTATTTCTTTCTTCCAAGGCTACAGAAATAAAACCATATATAAATTTAAACATTTTCAACATTTCATGCAATTTTATATGCTTTTCTATCTTCTTTAATTATAAAAGCTTCATAGCATACGCACCAAATCATTTTTAATTTAGCTAATGCTACAAGACCACTTCAATTTTAAATATTTTCCCTACAAGTTATTTAGCCGTGATGACCAAGTTTGGTAATCTTCTATTTGCAAAATTGGTATGAATGCCTTGCCCTACAATTATCAACATTTTTAAAGCTTGTCAGTGGTGTTAATTATGCCACGCTCCGGTTTTATTTTTTCTTGTTTTAGAAAATTCTCTTATTAAAGTCAATTTGGAGGCCTGATAAGATTTAGAATAAGGACTCTCTAGAAAGTACCTACACATGGTTTGGTGTTGTCGAATTATTCTCTGATAAATATATTTCTTTCTTTTTCTTAAAGACCAGAGTTTTTATTTCAAGGTTTCTACATATATGGGAAGGGGGTCAGTACACAAAATCTGCCATTTTGTTCGGGGATAAAATAAAGATTAGATATATATAAAATTTTTGCGAGTTTTTCATCGCTGGGAAAAATAGAGTAAGGTTTTTATTACACACCTAAATATTTTATATTTATTTGACATTATTCTTATATTTTATTCTCTTTTTTCTTAAAACAGTAGAAAAGTTTACACCTTTTTATCATTTTACCATTGTAGTATATCTAGTAAAAGTGTGTCATAGTATCATTATTCGGAAAAATAAAGATGGAGAATGATGGTTGAACAATAATAAGATTCAAAGTAAACACATAACAGGTGCATAGCAAAATCACGTCTGCATGCACATTTCTGTGGTTTATTTCAATATTATAGCAAAGAGGTTTACAACCTCCAATTTTCCTTTTACAGCTGACACTTTCCATTAACTTATTAATATTGAGAAACCCTCTTTTCCTTAGGATCTTTGGACGCCATACTAGCTAATCCAAACGAGTTTCCATTCACAAAATTGCATTGGGTGCGAATTTCTCCATCAGTTCCTGTCAGCACTCCAATATTTCCCATTTTTATCATTGACGCTACGAAGTTGGCAAAGAAAGCATTTTGGTTACTGCTGAAACTGTTGACAATGGGAATGGTATCAGCACCAGGAGTAGAGAAGAGTTCCTGGTCGCTCTGAAGTAAGCCATTGAGGTGCTGTAGATTGGAGTAGTATTTGTTATCAAATTGATCAGGTGTGGTCAGGTCCAAATTGGTGAGGTTATTCCCAGTGTCGTTCTGGGGGCATATCAGACGCAGTGTTGCTAAGTAAGTTGTATTCAGAGTTGGATCAGGGTTTCCAGTGTTGTTGAAGTTGTATAATCGGTTGTTGAATGTGCTGCAGTGAGCTCTTCCAAACGTATGACCACCTGAATGCAGTTTCAAAAAACTTATTGATAGCCTTCACTTTTTAAGAAATTATAAACAAAATTTAAGAAACTCATGAACTTGATGTTAATATTTTTATGTGTATACCTGAGAGTGCAACTAAATCAGTGGTGTTGAGACCTTGAACAGCAAAGGCTGCTTTAAGTTGAGTGAGGTTGAAGAAAGGAGCAGGAAGGTTTTGATTTGCAAGGGTTCTGTTTGCTGTTAAACTATCTCTTCTTCCTAATAGAACTGGCCATCCTGGACCTCCTCCCTGAAATAGATAAATTAGAAGGCTTTAATAGATATATTATAAACCCTTTTACCATATTTCATATTTTATATTTTTTAGATATTGCACTAATATTTTGTGGAAGGTTAGTCATTAATTATTTAACAAAAGTCAAATATATATGTTGTTTTCCTTTACAGATTTCTGAAAGAAGAAAAAACAGCTTTGCGTAATTAGCATTTAACGAAACATCCACGTCGCACATGCAACACATACTTAAATTATTGCCTTTAATGGTGAGAGGTATTATCAAAATCATTTTTGCCGTATACTACAGTTCAACGTCATGACAAATTGTCTTTATAAATAAATACCTAAATACCCGATTTTTTGGGTATGTTACTTGAGAGGAATTTTATACATCTTGGAGGCAAATTTCAACACGGTTTGCATCCATTACTTTATATGATTAATAGCGAGTCACTTAAAATTATGGTATTAAAAACTATGCCCTTTCAACTACCTACCCTCGAATAGGTTTAATCTTAATTACGCCATATTTTTTTCCAATCAAGTCTTTAATTACGTCAGTTAATTATCATACAGAATAACCTACAACTCTTGCAAATCTTCCTTGTCTTGCTTTTTTTCTAAAACCCAAAGACAATTTCCCGAACATGATTACTAATTGATCACAATAAGACAAATTTTTGGTGGCTACAAGAGCATTAAAATTAAACATAATACCGATTCCATCCCTTAATACTTATGGAGGATTGAGATCTTCCAATGATATGAATTCTGACGTAGTAGCTCTGATACAAAGGGTTGAGATTGAATTGTAATTATATATATATATATATATTTCAGAATTTTTTGTTATATAATTAAATCCCAATACCATGTAATTTTTAGTCCCTGCCATATTTTAAGTCTTTAATAAACTGTAATTTTGTTTTTTGATCTAATTGGCCCTAATTAGGGCATTATTGATGACACTATATATATATATATATATATATATATATATATATATATATATATATATAT